GGATGGTTCCAGCTTTCATGAACAGGGGAAACGATTCACAGGCTGGGCTGTCGTAAATGAACATGGTGAAACTGTTGACTGTGGTTCTCTTTCAGGGGGAGGGGCTCAAGTGGCAGAGCTGGTTGCTTTAACCCGAGCATTACAGCACAGCAAAGGGAGACGCGTCAATATCTACACGGACAGTCGTTATGCCTTCGGTACGGTTCATGACTTCGGCCCGGTTTGGAGACGCAGGGGATTTCTAACCACGGCTGGTCTCCCCATCTCTCATCAGCACCAGGTAAAAGAATTGATGGCTGCATGTGATCTCCCTGCAGCAGGAGCTGTTATCAAAATCACGGGACACTCCACTGACAGTTCTCCAGAGGCCAAAGGGAATCAAGCGGCTGATACTGCTGCCAGAGAGGCTGCAAAATTGACTGAGACATGCGTGAGTGTGCTGGCTTTTGCTCCCCAGGAGAGTGAACCCTCTAGAGACATTTTTGAACTTTATTCAGAGGATGACCCTGAAGAGATAGAGCAATGGACAAAATTAGGTGCAAAGAAAAATACAGAAGGGTTATGGAAATTCAACGACCGTTTTGTTTGTCCTGTTTCTGCTCGAACTGAACTAATGTCTCTGTATCATGGTTTGGCACATGCTGGTCCTGAGAATTTACATGCAATGATTTCAAAAACCTGGTGGTGGCCAAAGCTGAGAGCTTCTTGCAATGACTTTTGTAAAAGATGCTTAGTATGTCTTAAAGTGAATTCCCCAGCAAAGCTAAAGATTCCTTTAGGACATGCCCCTCGACCTCAGGGGCCATGGACCCACCTTCAAATTGATTTCATAGGTCCCCTGCCCCCTAGTGGAGGCTTTTCATACATTCTGATGATTGTTGATTTGTTTTCCAGATGGGTGGAGGCGTTTCCTCTGAAAAACTGCACCGCAGACGCAACTGCAAAAATTCTGTTGAATGAAGTTTTCCCCAGATGGGGTTTACCATTGCACATTGACTCAGATCAGGGCACACACTTCACGGGGAAGGTAATGAAGAATGTGATGAAATTGATGGGAGTGAAACAACACTTCCACATACCGTTTCGTCCTCAGTCTAGTGGTTCTGTCGAGCGTTCTAATCGGACGATTAAAACTTCATTGAGAAAGAGATTGTTGGAGTGGGGGAAGGGATGGCACTCTGCTATCCCAACCATTCTTTTAAGTATGAGAGCCAGCCCGAACAAAACTACTCAGATCAGTCCCTTTGAGATAATGACAGGTCGCTACATGCGACTGCCCTGGGACGCTCCTCTGCAACATGAGGGACCGTCAGGGCCTTTGAAAGATGCTCTGCAAAATTATCTGAAGGCTTTGGATAACTGTTTAAAAGACACCAGGGTTAGTGTCAGTATCCGACAAGCAGAGAAAGATAACACTGAGCAAAAAGACATGCCTGCGTTGCCTGAGATAGGTGACAGTGTAATGTTGCAAAGGGAGATAATCTCTCCTCTGGGTCCGAAATTTGATGGACCTTACCAAGTTCTGTTGACTACTAATACATCTGTTTTACTCGACAGAGGTGTGTTGGGTACAGTATGGAGACATTGGTCACAGGTGAAACCACTTGAGAGGTGTTGCAACCAGAATACCACCACATAATAACATGATAAATCGTACCTCTTCAATATCTGTCGTATATGATTTTTCTAAATTCTGGCATTACTGTTTTATCATTTACAGATGGCTGAGCCAGACGACTTATTGAAGCTGCTAATTCTGCAAGAAGAAGTGCGTAATGAGAAGCGACGGAAAATGAGACGGGCTTTTGTTAGATTAGTACTCCCGCTCTCTTTTGTATGTTTAATCCTAATCGCTTTGTCATTTCTACTGTGGATACAGATTTCCATTTGGACCGGTCGATTCCATGCTTTTGCGACTAATTGGGATTGTGAAGAAACTGACAACCGTCCATCCTGGGTACAATACCCATGCCTAAATTCAACTGAGGGTCTAAATTTGATTTCGACTATGTATCAGAAGGTAAACGATAGATGCTATCGGTTGGACGGAAATGAGTCAGTGACCTATTGGCTTGGTCACTCCCCAAATTATCCCGGTAATACCCTCATTATGCAAAAAGGTCGTTGGGTGAGAGATGGAGGTGTTTATGTTTATGAACCGCATTTTAGCTCCATGAGTTGGATTCCAGACAGCATAGCCCATGAAAACCACACTGCCTGCTCCAAACGGATGAATATGGCTAATAGTTATCTGTTGAAACCCATGAAGAATGAGAATAGAGCAGGGCGGAAGAAGCGTCAGACCGTAGCATTAGGGGATTCCCACATGATTTTAGGAGGGAAACCAGTGAAACTTCCCCTTTATCCTAGTGCACCTGACCCTCGACACATAATGTCATATTACCTGCCCAAAGCTAAAGCTGAATTAGGTTCTAATCAGGTTGTCAAAGATGTGGTCCAAAGTTACATACATAGCAACATTGTTGTGAGAGAAGAACCAGGTTCAGACTTGTATCAACAGATCCTGAAGGATAAGGATTCGATGAGATGGAAAGTGTTAGTTCCCACGAGGGTTCACATGGTCCGATGGGACGTAGACAGGTCTTATGGTGCTGTTTGTGATCGATTCGGACGAATCGATAAGACTGATAAAAAGAATTTCGACCTTAATGGCAGTAAAAATGGTTTGCCTTTTGTCAATGCTTTTTCTCTCTCTTGGCCCAAGTATACTAGGTTTGATGATCCGTGGAAGGAGACAGTACAGGTGGAACGTTGTTTAGGTGAAAACATTCAACAATGGTTTGTTAAAACCTTTCCTCCAGGTGATGTTAAGAAATGTAAAACGATGTCGGAAAAACTCACAGGTGTAAAGGTGATGGAAGTGCCTATGGAAGTATGTAATTCCTCTTTTGTTAAGACAGGATACACTTGGACTAGTTTGTATGACGTGTTGCATCAGTACGAGCTCGTTAGGAGCTTTGCTAATAAAACGGCTCTTAAAATGGATCAATTGCATGATTATTTAGAAGAGAAATGTTACAGCCCTACCTCCATGGCTTATAATGTGACTGCCTGGATGCACCTTCATGTGCTTAAATTGACGATTGAATTGATGTATACTAGAATAAAGACTCGTCTGGTACCAGTGAAATATGAGGAGTTATTGTGGGATAATTATCAACCATTCCAGGTGAGGATGTGGCCTCAGTTAAAGGATGTAGCCATAGGGGATGAGTGGTTTGATAGGGAAAAACAATTTCGGCAGTTTTTGGGTCCGATCCAGTTGCATGACGAGTATAACATTTCTCCCAAGAACTGTGCTAGACATAGGTGGACGCATCCCTTGGGTCCCACGTGGCGTCCAGTGGATCAGAGTCAAGATGGTAATGGAGCGGAGGGTTCCCTTTGTGTTACTGAATTGAAGCAAGAAACTGAATATTTTCCCCAGGTAAAGGCCCAGGAAGCTCAGCAGAAATACATTACAGCTTTCCTCGAGCAAGTAAAGACGACTGATCCATTTGCAGGTTATGAGTATTTGAATTCTGCCTGGTTTAAGTCCAAGGGAACTTCTCTTATGTCGGACTCTGAAGCACCATCTGCTATTGCGGTGGCTTTTGTTTTGGCTTTTTCGGTTGGTGCTATATTCACAGATATGGCAGAAACTGTAGAAGAATATGTGGAAGAAGCTTGGGATGATTTGGTGACAGCATCGGAAGATCTAGTCATGGGATTTGTGCACTACGTGCTGTATGCTGTGGGAGCCCTTGTGGGGGTGATGTTCCTCTGTTTGTGTATTTGGTTGTGTGTTCGTTTTTGTTTCTCCTATCTGTGCAGGACTGCATGCAGAAATCTGAATCCTGCTGAGGAGGAAAAGAGACTGCTGATGCTCACGACCCACCTGAGGGACAAATTGGATCAAAACAACATTGAAGCCCTGATGTGAGTGGAAGGTGGGAGAGCCTCTTAACGGGGACTGGACTTTTTAGTATCCAGCATGTCCGTGACGAGGTGAAGAGACAAGTGTGACCCGTCAGGGAAGCATGCGTCACCACTCCCCCTCTCCGTAGTGGCCTCACTTGATAGACCAGACGTGGCGGTATTGGACCACACATCGGTCTAAAACGGGGGACTGAAGGGTTGGGGTCAGAATCCCTTGCCTCTTCAATTTAACTATATGTATATCCTTTTTTATGATTACATTATTACTATAATAAGCACTAATCAAGTTATATAATCATTCCTATACGCAATAAATGATTCACATATAGTTTTTATTCATACTTCTGTTGAATGCACCTCTTTCCTGAATGTTGGGTGAAGGCCTATCTTTCATGAATGTCTTATGATGTCTGGGACTAATCTTCTGTGGCCCTGAGCAAGAACATTAAATACAGGCTTTTTGTCCGTATGTATACTAATGAGTGTGTTAAACTTAAAGAAAACCCTCATCATATGATCATGTTTCTCTGCTGACCCTATTAATGGGCAGGGGTCAATTTCTGTATGATTCTATGATTTGTTTTACTTCTTTCATACATATATTTCTCAAGAAGTAAAGTAATTGTTATTTCTTCTCTCTGAGGATGGAAGGTTTTATCAGTATGTTGCAGGTCTCATGACATGGGGTGGCTGGTCTCATGACGCTTTTCGATGGGCCCTCCGAGGTCATTACTGGATCTTCGTGACTTGGATGACAGCTATCTTGATTGATGTCAACGTACCCTTCTATCTATGTGTAATTGTTTAGGCTTTATGTCTTCTGAGCCAATCAGAAGTGAATGTTTATGTAATGTATGCCCTTGAAAACAGTATAACTGGTGTACGATTTTCATGTAAGGTGGAGTTAGCTTGCGACCTCCTCGTGAGACTTTGACGCTGACTCTGCCAATTAAACTGCAAACTATTCTTCAGTAAATTTTACTCTTTGATTGAACATCACGACTCCTGGTCTTCTTTCATCATCTCTGGTCCTGGGTCTGAAACTGTTACCCCCCCTAACAATGACGTATGCCACCCTCTACAGGACCAGTGACTCTGTGTACAATGTAATACAGGTCAGTGTTTTAGTATTAAAGGTTATTTTGATAAACCACACACAAAAACAACATTCTTCTATTTGAACGTGATTATGCTTGGCATGCAAGTATAGGCCTAAACTTTGAAAGACGCATTGAAGACCTGCTGCAACAGTTGCATTTGTTATTTCTCTGGAAAGCAGCACTTGTATTTTATGTAAGTTGTGTTTAGATATATGGGGCTTTTTCCATGACCTAATTCAATCAACCGTTAAATCAACTAGTTGAATGGTTATCAATTTCCTGAGACAGGAAATAGATATTTATATTTCTCAGAAAACAGGAGTTGTGCAAGCATAAACACTGATGGTCTGATCGCTTGATGCTATGTGGCATGTGAAAAAGCTTTGGGGTGTGTACAAGATAGAGGGGAGAAATTTGTAAAATTGCTGTATCATTAGTTCTATTACAAGCCATGATGAAGACACCAAAATATCATCAAATGTCATTTTTTCCCCCTCAAATTTGTATGAAAGACTAAAATGTTTGTGCAACGATCATCAGTTTTCTCATCTGAAAAATAAGACATGTGCATTTTGTATACATTGTTAAAAAGTTAATATGCAGTAAGCATAGTGTTTCAGTAAGTAAAGTGTGTATGTGATGGATTGTGGACCTCTGAATCTTTCTCTTTACTGCAGACGAGGGGTAGTGGAACTGAAGATGACTACGAAAACCGAAACTTGAGTAAACATCAGCCCAAGTCGGAGCCTAGAAGTTAGCTAGACACAACATGCTGTGGTGCCCATGTTGGAGAAACAGATTCTAATCTGGCCTGAGTCCATGTCTCGTGCGCTTTTCTGCACTGCGTGTGTTTCGTATCTCTACTTTTGCTAACAAGAAAATGGCAAAAGTTCAAATAATGAATCAAATCAAAATGGCAGAGCAGTTATCATCTGAATGCCCAGGTTCTTTTCATTTTATGAATATTACTATTCAATTCAGTAAGATTTGTTCCCTCCTGAACAATATTAATACTTTTATTTCAACAAGGATGCATTAAATTAACTGTCAGTAAAGACAATTATAATGTAGATTTCTATATCAAATAAATACTATTTCAAACTTTCTAATCAAATAATCCTGAATAAAATGATCAGTTTCCACAAAAATAAGCAGCACAACTATTTTCAACATTGATGAAGGATCATGTGACACTGAAGACTAGAGTAATGAAATGCAAACTTGGAGGTGGTTAAAAAAAATCGTACCGACTTTTAACAACCTCTTAATGATAGTGTATAATATCCATTCATCTACATGTTAAAAATATCACTGTACAAAACAAAGACTGAACAAAATGGGGCAGTTCATAAGCCGCTATTTGCCATAGTTGTAAGACGGCATAATGGTTATTTTGAACAATAATAATGAAGATCTGAAATGCTTTCATTTGTAGCAGACAAATGTTATGAGTAATATTTTTTTTTTATTTCCTATAGCTGCCAAGTATTCAGTGAAGTGATTGATGCCTGAGTGTGTGTCAAAGTTTTTAGTTCTAATAATCCAAATAGCAGCCAGTTTTTGACGGATGTGATAATGTACATGAGGGGGTTGATTTTGGGGTAATTATAAATTTAAAAAGTTCATTATACTTAGGATACTTATTATACATTAAATATACTTTAGCTTAAAGGGTTAGTTCACCCAAAAATTGAAATTCTATCAATAATTACTCACCCTGATGTCATTCCAAACCCATAAGACTTTGTTTCATCTTCGGAACACAAATGAAGATCTTTTTGATGAAATCTGAGAGCTTTCTGTCCCTCCATTGACAGCTAAGCAACTACCATTTTGACGCTTCAAAAAGTTCATGTAGAGATCGTAAAACTAATCAATATCAATTGAGCGGTTTAGTCCAAATTTTATGAAGAGACATGACCACTTTATATGATGAAAATATTGAATTTAGGTTTTTATATAAACATTGGTCAGCAAACATAAACAGAAGCTCAACCGAACCTGATGACACACGAGAATGAACCTCATTGGTTCTCACACGTCAAGCAAACATGATTGAGCTTCTGTTTACCACAACTGATGTGTGAGTTGAGGAATGTTTATATGTGAATAAAAGCTTAAATTAAATCCGTTCATCATATAAAGCGGTCGTGTCTATATAAGAACATTTGGACTGAACCGCTCAATTCGGATTAGTCTTGTGATCTCTTTATGAACTTCAACAAAATATCTTCATTTGTGTTCCCAAGATGAACTAAAGTCTTATGGGTTTGGAATGACATCAGGGTGAGTAATTATTGACAGAATTTTCATTTTTGGGTGAAATCCCTTTAACCATATGGCATGTTATTCAGAGACAGACATGTTTAGCTGGTCAAAAATGTTACATTCAGCTGTCACACATGTTGGTTCTTGAAAATCAAGTTCCTTTTTTTTACTAGGAAAGGAGTGGTTTTGATATTTTTAATGTCTCTTATTACAAAAATCTTTTACTTAAACCGATGAAAATGCAGATCCTGGTGTAAATAATAATGGGGGAAATTTTTTTTTTTTTTTTAAATAACTTTTTTAAAACTGGTGTTCCAAGAAGTTTTTGACTCTTAAAGTTTGAGACACAAAAAAACACAAGTTACAGGCATCAAAAGTGTGTTAAAACTCCCTGGGTTAGTACAGAAGCATCTATCTTAATGTTTCACCACTATATTAAGTCCATCGTGTTGGTGTATCATGAATGTTTATGCTTGTTTCGTGGGTTGAAGATTTGTGACGTCTTAACATTAGGTGAACTCGTAAATAAATGAGAAATATTTTCCTCTTCTTCTCACTTTAACTCAATCCTTTAGTCACTTAATCTGTCCGTCTGTCTGTCTCTCTCCTGCATTCTTTGCATTCCATTAGTCACTGACAGGCAGATTAGAGATGAAAAACGGTGTGACGAAAACGGAATTCACACTCCCCTCCCGTCAGCTATTTGTGTCTGTGTGTGAGGATGTCGGCGTGTTTGTGCATCACAGGAAAGTCCTCATTTTGAGACTGTGGAATTGAACTTAAGTAAGAGGTTGTCTTTGTATATTTCCATCTGCAAGAAGAAAGATTAATAATTTGAAATAGCTGATTAATATGGAAAACTTTTGACAAGGCATGGATGAAGAACAAATGCAACATCAACATGTTAAGAAATCTAAAATTAGGCAGGCTGTCAGTTATTTTCACTTTTCATTATTTTCATAGTTTTCAAGAGCGCTTTTTTATAGACAATATTTTTTGTTAGGGGGGGGGGGGGGGGATTCTTATCGTTTTATTAATGTATTTTTTATTTATTCTTGGCTTAAATAACATCAAAGTCCATCAGACAGCCAATCAGAATCATCAAGCATTTATGCTGTGCTCTATACGCTGTGGTAACATACACACCTGGAAACTATTAACTAGAGTGGGCTGGGACGTAAATACTCTCAACAGCGGTGGTTTTACTTTACACTTAAAAGGAGGAAAGTACGGTATATAAACTCTTTAAAGTTACTGGCTGACGCCTTTTTATAACAAAAATGCCTAGTCTTGGAGGTTTCATTTAAAGAAGGAATGAAAGTTTAAGACTTTTAGAAGACACAAAACGTCATACAGCGTCACTTTTAGTGCCTACAATACATTTGAATGGGTTAAAGGGATAGTTCACCCAAAATATGAAAATGTTGTCATAACTTACCCCCAGTTTTTTTCTTCTGTTGAACACAAAAGAAGATGTCTTCAATAATGTTGGTGTGACGATGTCATAAGGTACCCCTAATTTCTGTGTATGACCTGTGTTTGTTTGGTTTATATTTTTATAAATGTTTGTTTGGTTTCCATTATTGGTTTAAATATAATTTTGGTTACTTTTTCTTGTCTAAGGTGCACATTAGATGGACAAAAAGACTAAATAAAAGAGAAAAAAAAAATATTTTGCTTTATTTAGAATTTATAACAACATAACTTAACTTTTTGTCTTTGGGCTCATGGCTGCAGCATGGTTCCAGGGATGGGGGTTAAAGAGGAAGTGCAGCCTTCCTGCTCCTCCTTTTATGCCATAAGTTTATGTATTTATGAATGTGTGTGTGTATATATATATATAATTAAATTTTCTACTCCCCTATTTGTATAGAATGGTTGAACCGTTGAGTATGAAAGGATTCATCTTGTCTGTCTGATTTAGTTCTGGAGAGGGTCACCTTTAGTGTCTCTGTTTCATGTTCTTTTTGATTTATGCCTCTTCTTTTTTTTTGTAGTCAATAAAACTTTGAATTGACTGCAGTGTCTCCTGCCTTTGCTCTGGCCATGTCCCCACAGTTGGTAACCAAGCAGTTGACGGTAGCCATTGACATCTACAGTAGGGAAAAAAAATAGTATGGAAGTCAATGGCTACTGTCAACTGACTGGTAACCAACATTTATTTTTATTTTTTATATTTTATTTTGTGTTCAAAGGAAGAAAGAAACTCATTCAGGTTTGAAACAACATGAGTAAATGATGACTGAGTTTTTGTTTTTGGGTGGACTATCCCTTTAAGGGTCATGGAACAATAACAATGGTGTTCACGCTACAGGAAAAGTCTCGTGATGATGTCACAAATGACTGGTGCTTGATTCAGACTCACTGATGATGACAGATGCTTGGATCATCCCCGAAAAAATGTGCATGAGAGAGCAAGTCTGTGTGTGTGAGGCCATAGGAAGACATTAAGTCATTATAGACTGTTATGACTAAAACTATCCTGTCCGGGTACGTTGGCCGATATCACATTTAAAATAAAATAAAAAATTGTATCTGGACATTCTGGTCATTCACTGTTTTCGCAATTTTACTTGCTCGACTGGAAAGAATGTGGTTTTCCCAAACATAACAGTGGTAGGCCACAAAAGAGATTTAGGTCAGTAAGACCGGATTTGTTTTGGGATTCCCCTTTCTTCACTGATCTAGGACTTTTTGGACTGTAATCTGACCCCTTCATCCTGAGCAGTGCCTGGAAATTCTATGCTTTTTATCTCTGTATATTGTTTCCTTGTTCAAAAGAATAGAATGAGAAACAGACAAAAACACATGACTGTAACCCAATATCCCGGTTTAGTGATTTTATACTGTCATAGGCAGTGTATGGAGCATATTAATATGTATTATATACGTACGGAGCCATGCTCATGACATGCAGAAGTAGAAAAAAAACGCTGGTATATGTCACATGACAGTGACATGTTGGATGTAGTACGTCTGAATTTCCTTCATACTATATTCATACTATATAGAACATACTTTTTTAATGGTCATGTAGTAAGTTCAAATTCAAATGTAGTACCTATTCAGGGTACGATTAGACGACAGTGGTGTACTAAAAACAGAAAAGATTTTCCTTTGCATTTTTACTGAAACCATTGTCTAAACAATCCTCATACATGGATGCCCGAAAAACGACTTAAAACTATGTATTCTGCTGCCAGGCCAGTAATTGGTGATGTCACTTTATAAACAAACACAACGCACCTATAGACTGAACACGTAACACGCATGTGCATGATCACCATTTTCACAAATTCACAGTTTTGTTTTCAAAAACTTGCACCTTGAAACCCATTTTCAAAATTTCGCATTGTCAGGCCCCCAAAACGCTATTGTCGTGTAAATGAAGGGCCAAAAGGCATAAAAAGCCTTACGTTTTTAATTAAAACATGGTAAACGATCATGTAAATGGGCCCTTAGACAGTATGCGATTTCGGACGCAGGGCGAAACTTCCTACCATGTGCCTGTTTGTTACCATTGTAACCTAATGTGTCCACCTGCCCCTTGTTAATTCACTCATTTAGTCCTGTGCATTTATACCCCCTGTTGAGTTCAGTTACTTGTTAATTATTGTCTGTTATGGTACTTTACGTTTTTGTCGTTCTT